ATCCGAAGCAGGCTCCAGGCTCCCAGCTGTCAGCACAGAGCCAACGCGGGGTCTTGAACTCACAGACCGCGAGATCATGACCTGAGCTGAAGTCGGACGCTTAACCAACTGAGCCACCCAGGTGCCCCTGTGCACACTGTACGTTTATGGTCACCTTCTTTTCCCCTCCTCTCTCCTTAGTGATAAAAACTGAAAACTGAGATGTAGATTCTTTTCATTCACAGGGAACCCCTGTGTCTGTTGTGATTCAGAGCCCCATTAGAAGATGGGGCTGGAGGAAAGGCTCACCTCAGTTCCCAACGTGGCAAGTGATGGTCACATCCAGTGTTTTCCTAAGGTGTCCTGGACCTTTCAAGTTGGCTTTCAGAGACCCTTTTAGGGGTCCTCTTAAAAACCAGATGTGAGAACTGTCCAAATTAGCCACGAGTGGTTTGAAAGGGAGGGGGGGAGGGGAGCTATGGCAACAGAAACTTTATGTATAAAGTAGCATGATGGTCTTTGTGGATTTTTTTCAATTTTTTATGTATTATTAGTATTGTTTACTTATTTATTTTTTAAATGTTTATTTATTTATCTCGAGAGAGACAGCATGAGAGTACGTGCACAAGCAGGGGAGGGGCAGAGGAAGGGAGAGAGAAAATCCCAAGCCGGCTCCACACTGTCAGTGCAGAGCCCGACATGGGGCTCGATCTGATGAACCATGAGATCATGACCTGAGCTGAACTCACGAGTTGGATGCTCAACTGACTGAGCCACCCAGGTGCCTCATGAGCCACCAGCACTCATTCAGTGCTTACTGAAACAAAGATTTTTTTTTATTCGAGAGACAGCGAGCGAGCGCATGAGCAGGGAGGGGACGGGGTGGGGGGAGAGACAGAGAGAGAGACAGAGAGAGAGAGAGACAGAGAGAGAATTCCAAGCAAGCTCTGTGCTGTCAGTACACGGGAGCTCGAACTCACCAAATGTGAGTTTAGCACCTGAGCCGAAATGCAGAGTCAGAGGCTTAAGTGACTGAGCCCCGCAGGGGCCCTGAGGGGAGCTTTTGAAGCACTTGGAGCAGGGGGAGGGAGGAACAGTCTGCAAAGGAGACCTTCTGGGGGTGATGGGAGTGTTCGGTATCCTGCCTGAGGCTGGGGCTGGGTGGCTGTTTACACCTGTTAAAACTCATCACTTTAAACAGACACCGCTTACTGTATGTAAATTCAACCTCTTCAAAACGGATTTTTTTTTTAAATGGCAGTTTTTATTTTTAAGTTTATTAATTTAATTTTTTTT